CGTACATACTACAGTATACTATGCAGCAATAAAAATAATATATATTGTCATTAGCTATTATCACCATGTCTTTGAATAGATATCTTGAACTTATTCCTTCCTCCTAATTGAAACTTTGTATCACAAAATGATAGCTCTCAAGGTTATTATTCTGAGTGAAAAAACTAGTATCAGAAGGTTATATCCCTTTTATATAGCATTCTAAAAATAGCAAACTTATGGAGATGGAAAACAGATTAGTGGTTCTGAAGATTATAGAATGGGGCAGGGAAGGACATGGCTGTGGCCATAAGAGGGTTCAATATAGTGTATGATTATGCAGTTATATAAAAATAATTATGCAATTGTGATGAAGCTCTTCTGTGACTGTGATAGTGGTAACAGAAAATCTGTACATGAAAGAAGATTTTATACATCCAAATAAAATGCACAAGAAATGAGTGCATGTAAAATGATTAAATTTGATAAGGTCAATGGATTATATTGATGTCAATTACATGATTTGTGATATTACACTATGGTTATTCAAGATACTACCATTGGGGTAAACTTCTTGAGGGATATTCAGAATTTCTCTGTATTATTTCTACAACTTTATGTAAATCTAAATTTAATTTTAAAATCAACTTTTTATATAATTAGCTGCTGTCATCCTGCAGTGAAGGTGAAAACAGCCTGAATAGGTATAGTGTGATTATGTCAGTGAACAAATTCATGAAAAGCTAGCCAGGTTCTGATTCTGCAGATTGCAATGTTTGAATGACTCCTCTTTGTTCTCTCAGATGAGGGCAGCTTGAGCTGCAGACGACATGGAGTTAATTCCCTATTTTGTTTATTTTCCTTTAGGGACGGTTACTTTCCCTTTGTCTTAAATGATAGCCACAAACTGAGCTCAGTAAGTGCTCTCACATTGTGGATGACCAACCACCTATGACAAAATTACCTGATGTGTTTAGGAAGAAACACAGAGTTCTGCACTGTCCTCCTGACCTCCTTAAAATCTGAGGGCACAGTAATGATCACTAGAAAACCATCTGAAACTTCTTCAAGAGATTTCAGAATTTTAGTGTTACATGTAATGACAATCTATAGAGAGAATAGCAGGGTTTCCCAAAGTTCACTATCAAGTTTCCATACATAGGAAAAATAGAGAATTGTAGCAAAATGTACTTTTACTTGCAAAATATTCATTACAAAATTATAAAAGGTGGCCAACCCAGAGAATATTTTGTAAATATTTTGTAAAATCTTATGATGAATATTTTGTAAATGGAGTAGAACCTCCTTAGTTGACCACCTCCCTACATTGACCACCTCCTTAAGCTGACCTAATTTTCACAGACTAGACGTGCACCACATGTACATATCAATACAGTAGGTCGAGTTCCTTATGTTGACCACTTCCGTAGGTTGACCAGTTTGTTACAGACTTGGATGGTCAGCTTCTAGAGGTTGCACAGTAAAGGTGCATTAGCTACTATTTCCCATTTTTTCTATGTACAGAGACCTTATGGTGGCATTTGGGGCACCCTGTTATATGCATAATGGTTTAGCCCTGGCTTTGAAGCTAGAAAGGCTTGTGTTAGATTTCCTTATCCATCACTCCGTAAGTACTAGAATTTCATCAAATACATTAACTTTTTAAAATCTCAAGTTCTTCATTTATTAAATACTAACAATAATTCAGGATTTGGTGAGGATTCAATGAATTAAAAATTTAAATTGCTCACAAAGATGTCTAAAAATGACATGAAATGTTAACAATTATATACTATCTGTCATATGTCTGTCTATTTTCTGTTTATCTGTATTATCTCTAAATTTCTTTCACTATAATTTTTGGTAGTTAAATGCTCATTAAATTTTCTATTTTAAATTTCAAGACTTTTTTTTTTTTTTAGAGACAGAGTCTGACTTTATCGCCCTTGGTAGAGTACCATAGCTGGCATCACAGCTCATAGCAACCTCTAGCTCTTGGGCTTAGGCGATTCTCTTGCCTCACCCTCCAGAGTAGCTGGGACTACAGGCCCCCACCACAATACCTGGCTGCAGTTTTTGGCTGCAGTTTGGCCAGGGCCAGGTTTGAACCTGCCACCCTCAGTGTATGGGGCCAATGCCGAACTCACTGAGCCACAGGCACCACTCAAATTTCATGACATTTTAAGGCAAGGATTTTGTTTCTTTTATATTGTACTAGTGTTCTGGATGCCCTGGTTAATCTAAAGAAAGAGTTCTTGACTGACTTCTTTGATGATATAGGTGCTCATACATTTGGAAAAGATAAATAGGTAGGTAGTTTGTTCAATATTGTTAGAAGCAGTGAATGTACTTCATGAATTATATCTTCTTTATATCTCATATGTAATTTGCATGTTCTTGTTTGTAACAGGATTTCCTAGGACAGTTGGAAATATTTTCCTCATTTCTTTTCACCTCTATATTGGCCCCATAAAAATGTAGTAATGAATTAAAACACTGACAATAAATTATCCACTGTATTCCAGTATCCAGTAATAATTTATGTGTTGTTAAATATGTTTTAGAGCTTTCAAAAAATAAAAATTAAATAATTGTTTTGAAATAAGTCTTTTTCTAGTTTGTGTTATTGTAGTTTTGAGCTTATATAAAGTTAAGGACATTAGCTCTGTCAAATGTGAATCTATTCCTGCTGGGACTGCAGGGTTCATCATCTCTGTGCACCTTCATAGAGATATTTGTGGAAAACAGTTGTGATTTTCTGTGTTCCATTAACATTTTAATATAAACTAGATTTATAGTATCACTGTGGTGAATTAATCTCTAAATGATGTATGAAATGAAATATCCTTGCCAACTTCTGATAATGGGCTGCGCTCTGCTATACTCAGTTACTTCTTTTAATGTGTGAGTATTCAATCCTATTTCAACTTTTTATTTTATTTTTTATTGTAAATATATCTTTAAAATTTATTCAAAAGAAGATAGTAAAGATTTGGATTTAATAATGAGTTATTGAGAATGACTATGGAACTTGTATTTTGGCATATAACTATATTCCACAATGTTAATGTGTGTAAATGTAATATTTTATTCATTTATATAACTTACAAAGACCTCCCAAACCACACAAGTCAATTCTCTGCTGGAGAAACTAAGTGTATTCAAATAGTACTGAGGCACATTGCCAACATCTGACAGTTCTCGCAGTGGGCTCATAAAGAGTTCAATCAGCCACATCTAAGATCAAATTAAGACAATTGAGTTTGATATTATCCACAGATTTCAAAATGCATTCTGTGATACAAACAAACTGATTGAAACCATAGAGATTCTCAGGACAGGATTTCACTTTTCCTATGAACTGAAATGTTTAATAGTGCAGAGATATGGAAAGAAACTCTATATTAGCTCATCAGATTAGAAGTTTCTGGCGGCTGTGGAATGTGATATGACTACTGGACCCTATGGCCGTGTGCTAACCATCCTTTTCTTTTGCCATAAATGTGTTCTTTGGCCAGAGTTATATTATACAGCATGACGTGTTCTTGGATCATACATTTTATAAGAGTTTAGATAATTGTTCTGCTATGACAGTATTAATAGGATAGGCAAACCCATACCCAGAATATGTCTCACATTTATCCCAGTCAATAGTAATTACAGCTGAACTGTGTGGGTCCACTTCCCTGCAGAGTTTCTTCAGTCTCTGACACCCCAGAGAGAGAAAGACCCACCCCTCCACTTTCTCCTCAGCCTACTCAGTATGAAGAGATGCTGAGTATAAAGACCTTTTACAATGACCACTTAATAAATACTAAATATATTTTCTCTCATTCTTATGACTTTCTTACTAATATTTACTTTATCTCACTTTATCATAAGAACACTTCCAGTCACTAGTAGACTACTAGGAGTTAACTTTTGGGGGAGTGGATTTTGACTGTGTGGGTGCTCCTCCATCACCCACTTTGTTCAAAAGTCAACTTTCCTATTTTTCAAAGGTGTGATGTATCTGATGTAATCAATTAAGTAGCAACTGATTTGTTGGCCTCCTCAGAAAAGTTAGGAGCTCAGCAGTGAATTCTGTTTCTGTAAGAAATTGAGCCTTGATTCTTGTTGTTTCTGGAATTATAGCAACTAAATCTACCTTGGATAACAGGAGGCTAAGCTGTTAGTATATACATGGGCTCCACTGATGGTGATCAAGGCTATTGCAAGCATGAATCCATTCTATGACAGCTGATGAAAGTGGCAAATGAGAATCAACCAGAGTGGTTATTGGGGCTCTTTAGATCCTCCGTGGTAGATGCTCTGTGGTGTATAACACGTGAATCGCAGGCCATTATGCTTAGTGCCCACTCACTTATGAACATCTGTCTAGCTCTTCCCCACACCGCTTTATTGTTCACCACCCTATTGTTTTCCTTCAAGCCCCATATCCACCTAGGCAAGCCTGTTAGCCCTCCCTGTTATTTCATGTAGATATTTGCCGTAAGCTACTTCTATTCAACAAAAGTTAACGGCCATGTACAGCAGTGAAAGCTCAGCACAGTGGGTTTCACCTCCGCACTGCTTTTCAGAGCCACTTCTTGAGTGTGTAAAGAAGTAGCAAGATATTTTTTATTTGTACGCTGAGCCACTATATCCTCCTCCTCCTCTCCTACAGGGATATAGGTGTGACTTGAAAAAGAGATCTATGATTTCATTATATCTCAGTGGTGCTGTAAGAAATAAACAATGTATCTTCTACATTTAGTGAAAAATAATGAGATTTAATTACATAAAATCCATTGGAATATGAAATCATATGCTATTGTTTATCAAAAATGACATTTTGATAATCAGAGATTCAATAACCAGGGTGGGTGTGGGGTGTATACCTATAGTCCTAGATACCTGGGAGATTATGGCTGGTAGATGGCTTGAGGCCATGACTAGGATTGTCCCACTGTACTCTGGTCTGCTCAATATAATGAGAACTTGTCTTTATTTATTCTTTTATTTATTTTTATGATATTCTTTTTTCCAAAAATTGTGCCAAAGCAAAGCAAAGCTCCAGTTGACGGGGGTTGCTGTGTAGGTGTTGGCAGTTACTGCTCTCACTGCACGCTCATTGGATAGAAGCACAACCCAGAAAAAGGATGGTTGAGAACTTATCTCTAAAACTATAGTAATAACTAAAAATAAGTAAGTAACTAGGTTATCTACCCTACATTTGAGATCTTGAATTATAGAAAAAATGTAAATATTAATGCTAGGGGCCCTACATACATTACCTGAAAGATTTTAAGAAGCAGTTCCTCGAAATAAAAGGAGCTTGTGTCAAAATATAAAGTAACATACTGATGATTCCCTCATCAACAAAATCCTGATGAGACACTTTCATGGTCTGATTATCTGTGTCCCTTCAAGATTTGTATGTTAGTATCCTAACCTCTGATGTGGTGGTATTAAAAGGTAGGGTTTGGGAGAGGTAGTTAGGTCATGAGGACAGAACCTTCATGAATAAAAGAGAACGCAGAGAGATCCCTTCCTCTTCTACCAAATGAAGACACCCAAGAAGGGACCATCTATGAAACAGCAAACAGGTTATCAGCAGACTCTGGTGCCATGATCCTGAACTTCCCAGCCTCCAGAACTGTGAAAAATAAGTTTCTGATATTCATAAGAAAACCAGTTTGGGGTAGTTTTTTTTTTTATAGCAGCCCTAACTTGTTAATACAAACAAACAAAAGATCATTGAAAATCACACAGTTGCAAAGAATATTGTTCCCAAGACACAACTGCATATTGCATAACTTTTCTTTAGTTCTTCATTTGCAGGAGGAAGATGTTTTAGGATTTCAAAACAGATGTTCCCTAGAAATCCTAAATCTTGGCACTTAATTCGGTGAATTCCATTTTTCAGATCTGATGATCACTTCACCCTCCATCCCTGCACACACATACATAGGGACATCATTCTCTTAAAACTACTTTCTCTATCTATAGGTCTGTAACCAAAACATTGCAATCCATCTGGATGTATAAAAGTGTGACTGCACAGTAAATCTCTAATCTGTTTTACACCAGTGGCTCTGGAAAAAAGGTGTGTTGAGTAAACCAGATGCAGACTTATCTATATTGAATAATGTCACAGCAGGATACCAGAAAAATTAACTCTTTACTTACAATGAACTTAATCATTTATTTCATTAAATTTACCTTCTTATTTTTATTTTCAATAATACTAAGGTTGAGCAGCAAGCCTTAAACTTTTATTGGCTAGACAAGTTATTGAAAACTATTAAATTAGCTCAAGTACTCTTCAAAATGACTAAATTTACATGTATAAGCAAATTAATGATATTTTGTCTAAGACACTGAAAAGTTAATGGTTTGGGATTGATGAACTCTTAGGTTCTTTGCTCTTCAAGAATGTGAAGATTGATACTTTTGGTTACAAATACTTCCTTTTGACCATATCACTTTAACTCGAAGAATCAAATGTTTTATTTTATCTGGTGTCAAGTTACCTTTGCTCTTTAATTTACAAATCTTTTAAATTTATATTCTGTTTTCCTCTGAAAGTTTAGATAATCACCAGGTTATATCAATAGCTTTCGGTTTGCTAGGAAAAATTAGAGAACTTATATTTCATTTTCTTCTAATGTGTGATTATTGCAATGGATAGATGCTATTTCAGTGTTTGGTGCATAGTTTGACACTAAAAGTAATTTCAGACACTAGAAAGATGATATGTCATCTGGCAATAAGATCTTGATTAGAGTCCTCTTTGTACAAGATATATATATATAAAACATATATATCTTGTTTTATATGTAAATAAAATAAATATCTTTTATATATATATAAAATATATACATTGAAATCTTATGTTTTAGCCTACAGACTGAAATTCTTATGAATTAAATATAATAAATAAAAAGCAAAAGGTCATTATAAAATTAAAATTAATTTTCTTTTTAGCCCCTTGGTGTGATTTCTAACCTTACTTTCGCTGCTCTTTGAAATCAAACTATTTTTAAATAACAGTTGAAGCAATTTGGGTTCTATTGTGTTATTTACAGCGATTTCATCATGTTTCAATTCCTAAGACTACTAAGGAAAGGCTGGTCCTAGTTGTTATAAGTCAAACAATTTAAAAAACACCATTTGCCTAGTTTATTCAAGAATACACTCTGTTATGTTACATTATCCAAAATTATATTTATTAAGTACACAGTAGATAGCATTTTCAGTAAGAGTAGTTCTTCTATCCATTTAGAACAACAAAGCTATTTCCAGCTTCCTATTAATAGTTACTATAATAAGGAATGCATCACCCAGGCCCATTTTCTTCTCCTGAACGAGAACAAGGCATTAGGTGTGCACTGCCTGGATATTATGCTTTTTTTCAGAATTGTAAGATACAATTCTCAATGGAAATGAACTAAATTTTACTTGTAATACCTAAAGTATTGTTCTTCTGAGCATAGATTTCAGGCAGTGAAGTAAAGCCAACACGGATACAGCTACTCTTTTCATAAAGGGAATAGACTCACGGTGTTAGCAAAATTGGCAATTTACTAAAAATAACTAAGCTAGGTCTTAAACTAAACAAGCTGCAGAATAAATTGGATGTCCAAATACTTTATGAGGATGTTAATATAACTAAGTCACCACTTCTCAGCGAATGAATTGAATGGAATTATTTTTATGGTGTTTTCCAGCATGAATATTATATTATGAACTTATAATTCTCTTTAAATGAAAGGATGTTTAAACTGAGTTTAGGACTATTTAGAAGCAAAAAAACATAAATCAAAAGACAGAATTGTAGTATTAAGGAAAGCAGAAGCATTAAAGAGCTTATAATTTAAGATGCTATTTCCTTTCCTTTTTTTAAAGATTATCACCAGCTTTAAAAAAATACGTACAATATGTTAGGCTAGAGAGAATATTAAAGTAATCTGTTTTCATTCTACCAATTATAAGTATATTGGTAGAAAATTATATGGAGTTTACAGTTTATTTATTTATTTTTTACAGATAGAATCTTATTTTATTGCCCTGGGTACTGTGGGGTCACAGCTCACAGCAACCTCCGACTCTTGGGCTTAGGTGATTCTCTTGCCTCAGCCTCCCAAGTAGCTGGGACTACAGGCACTAGCCAAAACATCTGGCTATTTTATTTGTTGTAGTTTGGCGAGGCCAGGTTCAAACCCACAACACTTGGTATATGGGGCTGCTGCCCTACCCACTGAGCTACAGGCATTGCCCAAGTTTACAGTTTAAAATTTATTTCAGGCTTGGTGCCTGTGGCTCAAGTGGCTAAGGCGCCAGCTACATACACCCAAGGTGGTGGGTTCGAATCCAGCCCAGGCCTGCCAAACAACGATGGCTGTAACCAAAAAATGGCCAGGTGTTATGGCAGGGGCCTATGGTCCCAGCTACTTGGGAGGTGGAGGCAGGAGACTTGCTTGAGCCCAGGAGTTGGAGGTTGCTGTGAGCTGTGATGTCACAGCACTCTACCCAGGGGGACAGCTTGAGGCTGTCTCAAAAAAAAAAAAAATTATTTCAAATGCGTACACTTATCTATAAAATTTTTATGTGATTAGATTTAAATTGAGCATAAGGGTAAATTTCTGACTTTGGTCTAAAGGACGGTGAAGGTTTATTTGTCCACAGATGATATGTAGAGATTTCAATGGTTTCCTTATATCCACTTAGGAACGAGAGATGCTCTTGTATTCACCTCATAACCAGCTGTCTGGGAAGATATCATCATCTATTCTACAAAATATATCTCAAATCAATGGGGTTATTTTAATGCCTACAAATGTACTTTAACAGGAATCTACTTTTATTGCAAGATGAGGGAGCAAATGAAGACAGATGTCTGCTAAAGCTTCTGGGAGAGTACGTGGATTAATTGATTCGATTATTTCTTAGGCATGGATTTTGGGATGAATAGGGTAAGAGAAAAGGTAAAACACTAGATTTCAGAAAGAAAATATGTTATAGGACTAAACAGAAGGAGGCCAGAGTAACAGAAAGATGAATTACTTTCAATTAAATTATTTTAATTACTTTTAAGTTAATTACTTTAGAGTTTTAACAAAGGCCATTCCTGCACTACCTTTATATTACATCTCAGAATTTGACAACGTACCTTTGTTCAAAGAATTCCAGAATTGTCTCTAGTTCCTTAATAACTATGGCACTCAATTTACCATAAAAATTATTGATATCTTAGTAATAAAAAAATTACTTTTAAAACTTAAAATATAATTTACATGTAGGAAATGTACAGATTAGTGTATAGTTGCAAGTTTTGGCCAATTATCACATATAAAGCCACCACCCCAGTGAAATAAAGAGTATTTCCACACTTCTAAATTTATTCATGCCATTTTCCAGTTAAGTAGGCTCCAAAGGCTACATGATAATTTTTATAACAATAGCTTGGTTTCATCTGTTTTAGAACATAATATAAATTGAATAAAATATATATATATAAAATATGTGTGTATGCATTACTCTTTTTTGCTGGCCTCTATAACAGCCTACTCTTTTATTATTCATATTATTTAGAATGTTTTCTTATTTTGGTTTTATTTCATTATTTTTAATTTTAATGGATATATAAAAGTTGGAGATATTTATTTATTGTAAGCATACAATATTTATTGATAAGCATACAATATATATTGATGGGATCAAGGTAACTGGAATATCTATCACCTGACACATTAGCCATTTCTTTGTGTTGGAAAATTCCAATTCTACTCCTTTAACTATTGTGAAATATACAAAAATTACTGTTAATGTAGTCCCCTCGTGGTACTATTAAACAGTAGATCTTATTCCTATTCAGGCTTATTTCACTTAACCTAATATCTTCCAGCTCCATTCATGTTGGTGCAAATGAAGTTGAAGGAGAGCTTTATATATTCTGGATAGCGACACTTACAGGAAATTCTTTCTTTCAAAGAGAGATTTGCCTTCTCAAGGTGTCTTTAGAACAATGGTTAGTAAACTAGAGCCTGTGTGCTAAATCCAGCTTGCTGCTTGCTTGTAATAAATAATCTTTATTGGAACACAGCCTAACCCATTCACTCATGTATTACCTCTGGTTGTTTTCACTTTACAACAACAGAGCTA